TTTTTTTGGGACATGCATGTGCAGTTTTAGTCCAGGATGAATTTCCTAAGAAATTTTGGTGGTAGCCCTTTCTGTTGCGGATGTTGAATCATCATCATCATCCGAGCTTTATCTGAACTCTATGGGGCCGGTTACATGAATCCTGTTTTGCCATTCAGTTCAGTTTAACGTCGTATCCATTATTAAATTACAAGTGCTTAAATCATTTCTTTCTACTTTGATCCATGTTGAATCAAATGATAGAAGTTATTTACTTAAGTTTCATTTTAAGTTCTTGCAACGACAATTGTTTTTCACTCATTTCCTTGGTAGTAAAATGGTTTAAAAAGTAAAATGTGAAAGGTTCTTGAATGTGGATAGTCAAAGACATAATAAAATYCTCAAACTAGCTGGTAGCATGTAGACACGATTGAAAAAAGATGATTAGGTACGTGCAGAAATTCTACATGGGTGCATGCATGGATTTATTCTATCCACTTAATTAATGGATGTTCTGTGCAGATATGTTTATAGCCGTTTTATATACTTAAAACATTCTTCTTACTGAAAAAACAAACCCCAATGTTTTTTGTTGTAGGTTGTGATGAGGACCTCTGCTCATCAAGAAGCTGCTCCCACGACTTGGCCCCGAATGGCACGAGCCTTACCATTTGCTGCTAGGCTTGCCAGGGTTCCATTTCCCAGAGGCATGCCAGGTGCATTCRGGGCCCGCCTCCCAATTAAAACAGGTGCTCGGAGCTTGCAGTGGAAGCGAGATGCTCCAGTGACTACAGCTGGTGAGGGTGCTGTTAATGTTCAGAATGGAGTGACACCCTCCAGCAATATACCTTCTCCAACTGGTCGGAATCTCACATATGTTCGAACAGAGCCTAAACCAAGTGGTAGTTCGGGTCCAGCTTAGTTCAACATTGTTCTGGGGCATCATGCAACCTTTTCTTGGCAAGCCAAATTGAGTCCCATTACCATTACCCAGCCAGGATTGATATAAACTTGGAAAGCAGCAAGCTCACATCAGAGTTTTTCCCAGCCTGCCAAAATGAGTCCCATTACCATTACCCAACCTTTTCTTGTGGAGGAAGTGAATGAAGAAGGGTGGAGGCGATGTCTCTCTTTAAATTTTTTTTGTTTTTTTGGGGATCCAGGAAAAATAGAAGGATATCTTGATGGTTATCATTTTGTTTATTTATTTATTTCTATGTGAATTGTTTTCCACTTTTTCCCGAGGCCCTGGCAAGTGCTGAGAGCGGTGTAGAAAGAAATGTGAATATGGAGGGAAGTAGTCCCCGGGAAATTGGAGACATTATTCATGCATTCGTGCCTTTGATGTGTGAAAGCCCCTTGGTTGTTCATCTGCGAAACCACAGCTTAGTTTGTGTCTGCTTTATTTGGCAAGGATACATTCACCCATCCACCCTGTATACCCCCAATATCAGCATGTTTAATATTATCTTGTTAGATGAAATTTCGTTACTATTCTCCAATAAAAAAAAGAATATGGTACATTTTGATTTGTTTTATGTTTTCATGTTGTTGACCTCGCATAAAAATAAAGGAATAAAAATTCCTTCAAGTGGGTTGCTTACTTGACTGGTTTCTGGATTTTCTATTGTGATTATCCAGCCCTGTCTGGTTTTGAAAACCATGGTTCAGACCTTGCTGAACCATGACTCTGATGCTGATGATGGAAAGGAGACAACACATTGCTTGTAAGAAAGTAAAAGAAAACAGTGCACATTGATGAGGGGTTTAATCGTTAGGTCTTTTTTTATTTGCTTCTCTCTGAAATCATAGTTTTATCCAAGGATTAAAATTTTGCAACCGCTGATTGCTATCGTATCGGTGACCCTCCGGTATGGCATCACAGTATTATAGTGAGTGTTTAGGACGTGTTCTGTTGGATAGATGGTCAAATGCAATGTCTGAATTGAGTTAAATGTTGGGTCTTGATTACCTTCATTGTCATTTATCCCAGTCTGGGAATTGTAGAGCATTTGTTCTACAACACAAGGGGCCATTACTTGGTGGAGTGGTAAAATCTCAATGGGCAAGTGTGAGAATGTTGGTTCTAGTCTAAGATCAGCTACTTTGTGCCTAAGTAAATGTCCAATTTATCCCTCTCAAGGCCCCAGATAGTTGAGACCAACATCTGGCAACAACTTATTATTCTACAATCTACTCCTGAGACCCCTAAGAGATGAGAGCCTGAGACCAACATTGGGTGATGAAGACGGTCTAACCATGATTCTAATCTTTCTTTACTCCCCCTCAAATAAAATATGAAGCATGTTCTTCAAAATCTTGACTTTCAATAAATAGAATATATAGTTTAGAACTTATATTATCTTTACTGATTATATTGAGTAACTTAATTTGTAGATTATCATTATATGGTTCAAAACTAATAATTGAAATTGAAATTTTATAAATATTACATTTTACATTATTTATTGTATACATTCAAATATTAAAATGTAAACAAATGATCAAGTGAGTCCATGACCTGTGTAACTATGAGTGCTTAGGTTCAAATCTTCACATTCTCAAAAGTCTTTTGTGGTTTATTTCAAGGCAAATTTGGTTCCAAGGCAGGTTCCACCAAGGCGGACAGGCCAACCAATGTTTGTTCGGCTAGGGTAAACTCATAGACCCTGGAACTGGCTGAGTAAGGGTTGGTTCCAAGAATTTGGAACCAGACCCTACAATGTAACAGATTGAGTAGGGCCAGTTCAAACACCAGTTCAAGGTCAGTTCCATTCGGTTCTCGGTAGAACCTACCCATTTGCTCACCCCTACTCAAAAGTCAAAAAATAGCTTGCTGTGTACCAAAAAAATGAAAGGTAAAATAACCCTAGTAACTCGCTACATAAATTCCTAAAATTGGGTAGGGTAAAATCATTGGTCCAACCTACCAGCATGCTGTTTATCTTTCCGGTCCACATTACTCCCTGGTTTATTCTTCCTTTCTAAAATATACTAGCAGATGGTTCTCTCTTTGGATCGACATGGCTAAGAATTGGAACATATTGTCAACAAAAACGCACACCTTTATAAATCTTTATATTTTTATGAAACATTACTCCCTGAACTACTATAATCAGTTTTGTTTGACTTAGGCGCTGTTTGATAACAGCTGAATATGCTGAGGCTTCTTAATGACTGAGTTGGGTGGACCATTAAATCTGTGAAAATTTTCTTATTTAAATATTTTAACAACCACAACAAAATATTATAAAACATTTTTTATTTTCCTGCCTATACAGAAATTTACAAATGTTTGATGCTTCTTGGAGGCCTTTATCAATTTCTTTCTCTAGCCACACAACCTTATCCCTTCCTAGTATGATGCCAAGTAACAGTCAGATGGCTACAATTGCCAATTAAGGCTTTGTTTGCTTATTTGTAGTATAAATCCAAACCAGATGCAAAATTTGCATGTCTCTGTATCTATAATTTACATCTCCCAGTTGATTGAAAATAATTTACATTTTTTTATGTTTTATATACTCACTGGTAATGCAAATTTTACATCTTTACAGCTGACGCAAAATTTGCACCAATTCTCGTCCACCAACATTCTCTCTTACACAAAATGGGTATTATATTTTTCCTCCCATTTCAATTCACCCACAAATAAATAATCCTCCTTCCACTTTCATTATCTCAGGTACCACGTTATTTATCTATAATTCTACTAGCTCCTTCCAAATAAATAAAACAAAGTAAAGTTTGAAATAAAAAACAAACCAAAATATGCACTCAACTCATTTTCACTCCCATACATTTACACCAATGCAAATTTCATGAAGTTTCAACTGCAAATAAATGGAGCCTAAGCAAATAATTGTAGTTATGTCATCAATCATCATGACACCAACGTAACTTCAGGTCAAAACTTAATGTCCCACTAAAATGTTTAGGATCACTCTGTAATGCTCTTTGAATTCCTAAAATAAAAAAAAAATGTTTTTTCCCTCCAAAACTTCAATTTCCCTCCGAACCTTACCTCATCTATTCCCTATCTCATTCTCTTGTTCAACTTAGCCCCCAAAAGATAATTTCTAGCTCCACCACTGCTTGGGATTTGCAACAGCAAGGTATAGGTAGGGGTGGATTCGAGCCGAGATGAGCCGAATACTTGCTATTTGAGCTCAGCTCATTGAAATTGTGTTAGGCTTGAGTTCAATTCGAACTAGAGATTTTAGCTCGAGTTAAGGTTGGTTCAAAGCTCGCAAGTTTGAGTTCGGCTGCAAGTCAAGTTTTTTTCTAAAAAATAAAATTATACGTATAAAATATTTTTTATTTTACATACAAAAAATTAATAATTATAAACATTATTTATTATTATACATATAAAAAATAAAAAATATACATATAAAAATGTTTTTATTTGACACAAATTATAAAAATTATTTACTATTATACGTAAAAATAAAAATATTATTATATATTATAAAAATTATTTATTATATATATGTATATATACATATATGTATGTATGTATATATAATAAAAAAAATTTATTTATTATACTAAACTCATGAGCCTTATGAGTCGAGCTTCACTAAGCTTGAACTTGGTTTGATTAACAAATAAGCCTATAAATCAGACTCAAACTCGATTTAAACCAAGCCGAACCAAGTTTTTCATGAACCAAACTCGAATAGCTCATGAGAAACTTGGCTTGTAGCCACCCTTAGTATAGGACTATAGGTAATTAAGAACCACTAATCTGGGTAGGAATAGGTCATCTATTAATATGGCATGATGTTAAGAGATTGGTCGATGAGCAATAGTTAGAAACATACCTTCCCTGGTGCTTAATGCCTCCAACGACATGTTAAGCAGCGGGACTATTGAAAAGATGCCTCAAATATATGGCCTATGCCAAGGTTCTGAATATTGCAGTATTGGTTTTTCGATCTGTTGGAAACATCAAATATATTAAAATCTAAGAAGAAAGGCCGTTTTTGGTCGTTAATTACTATCCGAGAACATCTACGTCATGAACTTTGATCAATCAATCCATCATTGGCTGCTGAGAGTGAAGTCAAGGATGGAACCAATGAATGAGGAAAAACGGAGGAATATTGAACAAGCTAAGAGAGATGGAGTAAGAACCGAAGGAAGACAGATTGAATTTTGGATGGCTTTTTTAAGAGCCTAGCTTGTCGTTCCATGACCGTAGTCACAAGTGGGTGGTTTGACCATTAATTATATAACATTCACAACCATCTAGAACCCGGTTCACTGGTTTGACCATCTGGGTCAATCGAGAACATTGGTATGGTGTTGACTGCTAAGTCTGATATTTTAATAACTTTAATACACTACGTCAGGCTGGATGTATGGCACGGGTGTATCAAATTCAAAGGTGATAAATTAAAGCATGGGGTCATGACAAATGACCCGACATGAATCGACCCATTTATAGGGCCCAATGAGAAACGCCAGTTAGTTGGAAGTTTGAATATTGGATTGGGTCAGGGTCAAGTGAAATACATGCTTTATTAGGGTTAGGGCAAAATTGATAGAATTTCTACGAGTTGAAGGTCAGTTAGAGCACGGAGAGTACTCCATCGGAAGAAGGGTCCTCTGATTGATGATCACTTGTTTGTCATATATTAGTCGTAAACTCGTAATCGGCCAAAATTTTTGGGATTTGGGCCAATATCTTTTCACCATATCACCGAGACTCTATCTGACATTTCGTGATGGAAGGGGCAACTGCTTAGCCCAGCCCAGGCTCCTCTCCCCCACCCCTAAAATGGGTTGCGAACCATGGTTTTTAAAACCGGACCGGAAAAACCAGTAACTGGTCAGAGTTAAAAAATCGTTTGAACCGGGCGGTTGAACTGCTAAACCATTTGACCCGAACAACGGTTCGTGGGTTATAATTTTTGATTTTTTATGATTTAATAAAATAAAAAAAACAAAATAAAAATGACTACCATATTCCCGACCCCAAATCTTACATGCTTAGGGTTAGAACGACCCCGTTTTCGTTCTAACCCTTCCCTCCTCTCGGCCCTCACACCCAACCGGCCACCTGCAGCAGCCACACCTACGGCGTCCGACGGCGATACACAACGACCAATGGCGATTCACGGCGACTAGCGACGACGGTGAACATCTACGGCGGCAGCATTGATTTTATAGCAGGTCCGACCGTCCAACAGTAACAGATGCGGCAGTAACAGGTCCGGTGATCGGTGATTTTACAATGACAATTTTGCGGGGGTTTCTACTTTCTAGCAGCAGTAACAGTTGCAGGCTTGCAGCAGCACTTGCAGCAGCACTTGCAGCAGCAATCACCTACAACCAATCCTAAGCCCACTGTCACACCACCATTAGGGGTAGTGAACCGGTGAAGGACCTGAAGCCTATCTTTCTTATAATTGATAGATAAAGATAATAGAAAATGAAGCCTATTTCTCTTCAACTTGAGATATATACATAAAATGTTTTATGAGAATCATATCAGGATCTCATCTCCTCATTCTAG